ATTTTCGTTTAATTAAATAAATGAATGTGATCGTTCATTTATGTTCACGAACGTTTGGTAATCCGTTCGTTTACATTCGTTTATTTATGTTTATTTACGTTTATTCGTTTATATTTAGTCTAATCCACAAACCCATTTAAAATATTAAGACCTAATAATTTTAACCTTAACACAATTAATATTTTAAAATCAAATTAATTTTAAACCCAAATAAAAACACTCAAATCAATTAAATAAAATATAAATCCTAAAATTATTTGGAGAGAATAAAACTATTCTCAAATATAAACTTAATTAATTTTATTTTTATTCGTTTATGTACGTTTGTATTCGTTTATCAATTTAACGAAAGAATACAAACAAACTATATTCCTTAAAAACGAATACAAATAAAAATGTTCGATTAAAATTATACGAAGATGAATTTACTTTATTTGTGTTTTGTTAGATTGATTTACAGGCCTGCTCAAATCAGGCTCCTATAACATTAGGTCTCGACCCTAGGTCGACCAGGAGAATAAATGTACAAAATATTTGAACAAGACACGTTATAATTCAATTTACACCCTCGTGCCCGTCTTTTTTTTTAAAAATCAATTATATCTCTATTTCATCAAATAAAATTAAAATTTACAGGGGCGTAGTTAGGCATGGTACCTATGTTCAAAAAAGGGTAAATTTCATAAAGTCACCCATTATTATTTAGTTTTTATTTTAGTCACACAACTATTATTTATTTTAAATCACGCTTAATGTTGCATTTTGATTATTTTTTTGTCTCTCATCTTTAAAAACTTAGCAATGTTGTTAATATATCATTATAAGATAATATCATGATATAATTAAAAAATAATTAAAAAAGTTACTAGTAGGTGATCAAAATATATATATGAATTTTTTAGATAAACTTTTTAATATGTTTATACTAGCCCGTTCTACAAAATTTTTCTGAATTCATCACTAAATATATATGTGCATGTGTGTGTTAGGTCAAGTCAAATACTAATTTTATCTCAAAAATGATTGAGTTTCTGTAACCCCTAAACCCGACCTAAAAGAATTAGGTTGAATCAAAAAAAGCTCATTAACTAAATTTCCCAAAATCGTACCCAAACCTTATTTAAAATACATTTAAAACTACCGTATGCATTTATAGATTTCAAACACTTAAAGTAACCAAAATATATAAATAATAATTAAAACATAAATCAAATATTTATCAAAATCAAAATTCACGTCTCAATCTCCAAAACAAAATTTATATTTAATGTCCCAAAATAGTTCAACATAACAAATAATGTCTAATATAAATATTAATTAAATGTGCAATAAAAAACTCAAGTAAAAATGTCATACTTAATAAAATAAAATATGGGTAATATTACAACTCCAAGTATCGTTTTTCCTAATCCGATTATCTGAAAGAGAGAAACTATTGGGGTGTAAGCTATAAAGCTTAGTGTGCCTCTAAAGTGCATCAATCACAAACAGAATATCACAAATCAACATACAATCCGATTCAACAAAAATGTTCACAATCTGATTCAATCAAATATTCACAGTCTGACTAAATATATAATGAATGTGCACTCAAACACCTTACGTCATTTGAAGAGTAGGTTCCCCGGAACCATTTTAACTACTAACACCATCCAAAGTGGGTCCACCACAAAGGCATGCTAATGAATCCGAAGTGAAATTCACCCCGTCGAGTGAAAAACATTGAACTTCCCCTATCAATCCAAACTCAGTATGACATGCAAATGGCAAGCATATTCGATATCCGATCCGATCCAAATAACGCATTTCAGAATAACGCATACTCGAATATTATATATATATTCGAATTTAATCCGATCTGAAATAGAACGCAATTACATGATTACAAAGTCCGAACACAAAGTATAATCCGAATATGATAAATATCACATGTCACATAACATAATTTTCTAAATTCTAACTAATACATCAAGTCACATAATCACCATGCTCGAAATCAACTTTCAATCAATATGTTATCCGAAATAATAATTAATTCAACAATATCACAAAATAATCATGCTTCCATTCAAATTCAGACAATCAAACAATTATCACATACAAAATTTAGCATCACATAGAGACACACCTAGACAAAAATAGCTAACATTGGTTGTAGCGCCTAACAAGATCAACGCGAGCAACGATTCGAACTGAATAAGTTCCTACAGATTAATATAATAAATAATCTAATCTAACTAATCTGAAAAATTCAAATGTCTAAATTAACTATCACTCGCGCTCAACACGAGTAATACGGGTCGGTTCAAAGTTCACAGACAATAGTGGCGAAGGAGGTAACTCAGTTCCCTGTTCAGAGTTTTCTGCAAAATTTACAACATCCAAATTTAAGTTCCAAATCAGAAATCCCAATTTACGAAATAATAATTTACGGCTATTTAAAATTATTTTCAATCTGGAACGGGACCCGACAACAAATTCTGATTCAAATATAATTGTCTGTCAGTAAAATAAAATAGGACCGTCAGCGACAAGAGTACACCGACAGTAGTCCCCATGGATCGAGGATACCAAGGTCAGCCCTGCCATGACCTTAAATGACAAGCGACAACGTCGACGGAAGAGGGCAGCAACCAACAGAAGCTTTTCAATACCAAAGAACGCCGTTCAGCCACGACCCAGGCCATTTGAATCTTCCCCGACGAGCGCTCGACCCTACCACGGCCATACACGACCCACGCGAGACCCTTATGGCGACAAGAGCGAGCCAAGGCTCACGGGTTTCACAAACCAATGCCGTTCAAAGACGACGATGGCGATGGGGAGATGCCGAGGTACATGAACGAAGATTGACGACCTTACCTACGAGACCGGACAAGAAATCAGAGGTGAGGGAGAGGAGCGGCGCTGCTACAAGGTTTCGACGCAAGGGTTTTGTTTTAGAAAATAAAGGGGGAGCAGTGCAGAGAATAATCGGGGAGGAAGAGTTTAGTTTAAAGAAAAATGGGTTAAATACAAATAAAGCCATTGAACATTATAGGGTTTTGAAAACACTGCTTCAATCCTTTCAATTTTACAATTTGGTAATTGATTTTAATTTAGGAATTTAGGTCAAAATTTCCCAAATTCTAGGGTTTTTAATTTGGGAATTTTTCAGTGTGTTACAGTTTCGGATTGGATAAAATCATTTTAAATCCAAGTAAAAACAGATTGAATTTCGAATTGGATGAAATTATTATATATAACGATGTGATTTATATACGTAGTTGTGATGAGAATAAATTGAGTAACAGACCCAAAATTTTATCTTGAATAAGAAATAATAACATTTTAATAAATATAAACTTAAATATATAATTAAAATTTACGAGTATTACGACTGTGTAGAACCAACGTACTTAAAATTTTCAAAACCCAAGGGCCGAGATAACATAGTGAGAATCTCAGCATCATGGTTTTTGTCTTCGTGTCCATTTTAATTTCTAGCTCTGAATCTCACCAACTCCCCTGTTCTTTTGTTCACTCCCTTTATTACCATCCACCTAACACAAAAATAATAATTCCTTCAATCCTTCGTATATTGTATTACCCGAATTTAATTTTCTTCTTTTTTTCTGAGATTTCATGTCCTATAATCACGTCCACCTACTATATTCAAAATAAAAGTGATCGTAAATAATTTAATATCGCCTAAATAAATCTCGAGTTAAAAGTCTTATTTATGCAAAATATTCTTATTAAGTGTGATTTGGATCGGTTCGAGTTAGTAAAAAACAAGTTTCGACAATTGAGAGTACAATAAAAATGTATTTTTTCTGCAAATGAAGAGGAAAATGGTAGTCGTTAGTTTGTTAATTGTCAGCAGTGATTCAAAAAACGGTCGTGTAACGGTGTAACAGCTGTTATATCACGGTATCGGCAGCCCCCGTTACCGATATCAGCCGAAATCACGGTGTGAAACGGAATCACACCCATAACGACCGATAACGGTCACAATTTAACGGGTAACGACTGATAATGGTCACAATTTAACGGGTAACGATCGATCGCGGCTATAACGGACCGTTTTTTCCGTTAATTCCCGTTACAACACCAAACATCACCATGCTCGCATTAGAAAAAAGGGATGAAGAAGAAGATTTGTTTTGGGTTGAGGAAATTCCAGATATACCGACGAAACAAGTGGAGAAGGATAGACGTCGATTACAGAATCTTTATGTATAAGATGGAGGTTCAGAGCACTTCAAGCTCAACAAAAATTTTAAAGCTTTATTGTAAGTTTTTCAATGACACATTTCGAAAGAAGCAAGAATGTGAAACTACTGGATAAATTTTAATTTCTTATTTTATTTTGTTGACAAGTGCAGGATGTAATGGGTTACAGCTGGATGACTTTATTTGTTTTAGTTTAGTCTTTTTCTAATATAATCCGACAATTCTTTTTAAGAACAAAATATATAATCTTAAAAATAATTAAATTCTAATAACCAAGGAAATTCGATTTTAATTTCATTAATTTTAAAATAAAAAGATCTTAAAAGAAAATTAAACTAAAAATATTAAGATCAATACTTGATTTATGCCTTAAAATATAATAAATAAATTACGTGTTTAATACATAAACTATTAATTTTCTTGTATAATTGATTGTTATGAGTTAATGTAATATTTTTAAGAAATTTATAAATAAATACAAAAATAATTAATGATGGTAAAAATTGTGTTTATGCATTAATAAAAATCTATAAGTTTATAAAACACTCTAAAAATGATTAAAAGTGATTTTTTATAATTATAATTACTATATTTTATAATAAAATGTGTGAAATTTAAAAAAAATTCACGTCCGTAATATCTATTGTGATCTTGATAGCATCTATTACATCTTAAACCGCGACCGTAATTTGAATCTATGATTGTCCGTATTCGAATTCAGTCAGTGTCAATTTTATCAACGTCTCTAATCTCTCTTTTATCTATTGGCTTGCCTGCGTCGGCAATTTGTTGTTTCTCTTGTCAAATCAAAATCCCATACTTCTAGCAATGGCGACGGCTCGTTTTCATCTCAGCCGACGCAGGCCTCTCCACCCATTCGGCAATACTGCTACCACTAATAAAGCTGCTGCCACTGACAGAGTGCTGGTGTCGAATCCCAAGATGTTCAATTCCGACGAGCGGAACCTGAACCATCAATATCCCACCGCCGCTGTGAATATGGAGACGGTGTCGTTGGCGGAGGAGCTCAATGCCTTCAGGGAGAAGATGGAACGGCTTAGATTGGACAAGGAGAAGACGGAGAAGTTGTTGGAAGAGAAAGACGCCGTGTTGCTTTTGCAGATGAAGGAGATTGAAGAGAGAGGGCAGATTCAGAGACACCTCGAGATCCAAGTTGATAGGCTCTTCAGACTCAAAGAGCTCAAATCCTATTGCATGGTAAATTCATTCAACCATTTTCTCAAGCATGTTGAACAACACTTCATTCTTGCTATTTCCATGTTTTGAAACAGAGGATATCTCACTCAGGGAAAAGCAACGGGGTGGTTGGAACATTAACCAGCTTCATTCGCTGGTAAGTGTTGTTATTAGTGAAACTGCAGATCCACGTTTCATTTCTTTCTCTTTATTTCTTTTTTTTTTTTCAAATCTTGTTCAGGAAATTAGAGATGATGAAAACCCATGGCAGAGTTCAGCCCCGTCCAATGCTTCTCAAATTATTAGAGAAAAATAAGGATTCAAGACCTTTTTGTTATCTTCATTGTCATTTTCAAGGGAAATGCTATAACAATATCTCATTATAGTAGTAAATCATCTTGCTGTCAATACACATGACCGGGATGCTCCTCTTTCACTATAAATCTTGTTCTCTCAGTCATTTTCTTCACCCAATGTGATTACAACAACGAATGGCAAAAATATAATGAAAAAATGCATCAAATAGCAAAAAAATATAATGAAAATGAGCTAGATAATAGTCAATGGTTACATATTTGCATCACATGCAGAAATGAATGAAAACAGAATTTGCAATGGCTGTTGCATAGGATCGATAGGTTCATCTGCACTTCTTCTTCTTCTTCTTCCTGTCTGCATTTGATAGTAAGTGGTCGTCCGTTGACAACAAGGACCGAAACACAGGGGTCATACTAATGAGCTTTCCTGGCATAATTTCTCCCAGAAGAACCTTCCTCCTTAGCTCTGGATTATTTGGATCCGTCATGTTGGACATTATTTCACTGTACTTGTGCTGCTGTGTGCCATATGTTTTACCCAACTTCATAAACATTGCAGTTTCTACGCTTATCGCTGCCTGGATGGGATCACAACCATTCACTCGATCCAACACCTCTTCATCATCGGTCTCACCAGCAACTTTAGAAAACGCCTCTAAAAATATCATCCGGATTTGGTTACGATAAGGATCGTAAGTTTTGATCAATGGATTCAGCTTCGGACCACTCTTTGCATTTGATCTCTGCTCAATATTAATCTTGTTCTTGTCAGCCATTGTAGTTGCTTTCTTTTCCTCGAGCTTGATGGGCTTAGTGGGAATGGCTTTAGACGTTTTGTGAATGGGGAAGGTGCCATTTTTCTTTCTCATGGCAATTTCTTCAAGAACAAGTTTTTTCCACAACTCAAGCAACTTGGAAGCCACGGTATTGATCCTCTCCCTAGGATGCTTCGGGAGTAGTCGAAGCCTTTTCCCAACCTTTGTAAAATGAAACAGTAAGAATAAACAGAACGTGATGGATCCCATCAATTCAAAAAAGCAGGCAGCACTAATAACGATTAACTCATCAGAAAGGTAGAATCCACACATGAAGTTAATCGTTCATCGGAATTTATTTAAGAAACGGCAAAAATATAAAATTAATACAGGGAAAAGTAACAAACCTGAGTAGAAAGAAGAAGGTCATAGGTGACGGGAAAAGCCCTGAGCAGGTTCAAGGCTTCAATGCATCTCGAGACTTCGGGGCCGTTGGCATTGGAGGCGGCCAAATCAGTGGCTTTACTGGCGGCCTCAAACAAATCCAGAAGCTCTCTCTCCATTAATCAATCTCAGAATAACCCTAGAGTGAAGAATGCAAGGTCAGGACGAATGTGGTGTGGATGAGCTTGCTTTTGTAGAGCAATTTCTAAAGAAACCGAGACCGACTAGGAGGAGGAGACTGCTGCCCTTTTCTTGATACGTAAGTCTCTCAATATAAAGGGCCGAGGTCTTCGTGGGCCACAAGTCTAGTTTTTTCAACACAACCGTGCACCCCAAGTTTTAGTTGAGTTTGGGTTAGTTTAAATATGATAGTGTTAATTTAGATTGTTTTAAATTTTAATTTAGGTTCATGTCATTTCAAATTATTTATTTAAATTAATTTGAGTGCTTATAGTTAAATCTATTGAGTGGAGTTTCAAATTTTAGATTACTTTTAGGTTACTTATTATATGATGTTATAATTTTTAAGATATAACTATAAATAATTTGAACATATATAGTAGTAATTAAAATCAATCAATCATATTTAAAATTCAATTCATAATTAAATTAAATTTATTACAATTCAAATAGTTAAAAATTATTTGATGGTTTGACTTAGTTGCATAATAATTATTACGATATATATATTGATTAACTAAAGGGGTAGACGAGACAAATGTATCATTGAAAATTTTAAATTATCATATATTTAAAATATTGTTTTATTTTTACCCTTCAATATTTTGTAAGTTTGTGTTCTCTAAAATCCTAAAAATCCAATCTCTTAACATAAAAGATTTATGAGATATAACGAAGTGCATGTATTTAAACCTAGAGATAGATATAAGTCACGCCAAATCAATTTTTTTACATATCCTATCTTCACCTAAATATATAATCATTCATCTGGCTAAATCTACGAGATAATGTGTTGCAATTATTTATTTCACGAGATAACGTTCTCCCAAGATTAATTGCTGAAGTAGGGCGAATTGCACAGTGTTGGCCGTAGGTCGCCATGCCTTCCGGGCGACCTACGACGTGGCAGCTTCCGACGAGGGAATGGTCGTGTGCATGGGACATGCACAACCCAACCCATAGGTCGCCATGCACTCCGGGTGACCAAGGAGGTCGCCATGCATGCCCGGCGACCAAGCTTTTAACCCTTGTACGCCCTGCATGTCATAGCTGTGAGATTCCTGCCCGACGACCAAACTTTAACCCTCTGCTCCCCCATACATGCGTTGCATCCATAGAGCGCGCCCTGCATGTCATAGCTGGGAGATTCCTGCCCGACGACCAAGCTTTAACCCTCTGCTCCCTTATGCATGCGTTGCATCCATAGAGCGAGACGTGCAGAAATATCACATGGCCATGCAAGGAGACAAGGTCGCCGGGCGTGCATGGCGACCTCCTTGGTCGCCCGGAGTGCATGGCGACCTAGGAGGTCGCTGGGAGTGCATGACGACCTATGGGTTGGGTTGTGCATGGGACATCTGAAGCTGCCACGTCGTAGGTCGCCCGGAAGGCATGGCGACCTACGGCCAACACTGTGCAATTCCCTACTTCAGCAATTAATCTTGGGAGAACGTTATCTCGTGAAATAAATAATTCCAACACATTATCTCATAGATTTAGCCCATTCATCTATCATCCAAATCGAAACAGACTTAGGGAGTGTAACATCCCTCATATCGGGTTAGTGATCAAATTGTGAGATTTTAATTTCAGTGACCAAATTAGATAAATTGAAAGTTCATGAACTGGATTAAAATATTTGGAGAAGGATAATTTAGCATATAAGGAAAAGTTAAGAGGGCAAACTAGTCTTTTATCAAGTAAATGAATTTAATATTATTTGGGGTTATCTTATAACCCACGTGGATGGCATTTGGGAGAAAAAAATTAGAGTTCTAGACATTTCTCTCATCTTCTTCTTCTTCTCCCCGTGAAGCCAAGCTAAAGGTGAGTTTTCTTGTGAATCAAATTCTTGATGAATTTAAGGTTGCTTATTGATCCTTAGATAATAACTAAGCTTAAGGAAAGCTTAGATTATCTTAAAACCATAAAATGAGGAGTATATGAAGAATTAAAGAAAGGAAGTAGAAAAGTGAAATCTTGCAGTAGAGTTCATAATAAGAATTGAAAGTGGGATTTGACTTGTCATAAAGCTAACTAAGAAGTATGAGGTGTTAGAATTCAAATTAGAACATGTTGGAATTTGGGTTAGATTCTTAAATTCTACATGGAGAATTAGATTTCTAAGTTTTATAAGTATTTAATGGATAATAATTAGTTTAAGTACGAGTATGCAAGTTAGGGATAGTAAAAGGGGGGAAGTATAAAGTGTCAAGTAGAGTAAGAAGAGATTTTCGTGCTTAAATGACATTTCTGGGCAATGTGCATCGATACACATTCATTATGCACCGATGCATCAATGATAAATCCCAGAAATTTGTTGAAGGTGCATCGATGCATATGAAGTGCATCGATGCATTAATTTAAATACAAACATCGAATGTCGTCAATGCATCGATGCATTTCTAATAAAATGAACATCGAATGCCCTCAGTGCATCGATGCATCAGGAGTGCATCGATGCATGCCTCTATTAAAAGATGAAAATGACTTTTCTTTTAGCCTAAGAAATGATAGTTTAGAATATACTAATTAGTATACTGATAAGTATCAATGAATTACTATGTAGATATCGAGCCTAAACGAGTTCTGGAACAATCGACAAGTAGGATCGATCGAGGAAAAAGCAAGGAAATATAGGTGAGTGCATATGCATAGCCTGGATATATATATATTCTATGGAACATGTGTGAAGTCTTGTAAGACACATACTTGATCCCTAGTATATGTATATAATTATTAAGGAATAATATGTGGTCCTTATGGACATTATTATATGGCACTACGGTGCAATTCTACGCGGTCATTCGGGATATATATATATTCTGTGGAACATGTGTGAAGTCTTGTAAGACACATACTTGATCCCTAGTATATGTATATGATTCTTAAGGAATAATATGTGGTCCTTATGGACATTATTATATGGCACTACGGTGCAATTCTACGCGGTCCTTCGGGATATATATATATTCTGTGGAACATGTGTGAAGTCTTGTAAGACACATACTTGATCCCTAGTATATGTATATGATTCTTAAGGAATAATATGTGGTCTTTATGGACATTATTATATGGCACTACGGTGCAATTCTACGTGGCACTTCGGTGCAATTATACGAGCTGTAGTGACAGTATAGTGCACAACCTCACAATACTCACATACCTTAGGTTCTCAATATGGTATCATGGGCCAATGAACTTATTAATACGAGCTGTAATATGCTTACAGGTATGGATATTGGTGATGTAAACTACATTGATTACGTACATGCTTTCGTCTCATTCCATATCATTATGACATTTTTATTACATTTCCTTGTTATTATTATATTATTGCCTCACTAAGTCGATGACTTAGCGTGTGAGTGTTTCACACGTAGGATCCAAGAAAGTAGACGGGACTCATTAAATAGCTGGACAACATTACTCCTGCAACCACCAGATCAGAAGCAACTTAATCAGTAGGTCATTTTGTTATGTAAATGGCAGTTGGCATGTAATTAAAGGGTTAAGTTGTGTATGCTCTGAATATTTTGGTAAACTTATATTACAATATGTATA